CACACACACACACACACACACACACATATATTTGCGAATTTCTGCCGAACGATATTTTTTTTCCTTGTGGCGTTGCCCTTGGTGACTGACACTGCGCTTGTCACATTATGCTCAAGTTGCTTCTCTTGTCATAACGGCAAAGCAATCTGGTGCGTGTAACCGGATCCTGTTTGGATGCAGGGAAATGAATGAAACATGTGACAAGGTGTGATTAGGTATTCGCCAATCTCGCTGGGTGTTTGTTGACAGATGGGTCTTTTGTCAGAGTAATTTGTTCAACAGAACAACCAAGCAGATAATTACCTGTTTCTTTTGTGGCTATTAGGCCCATTGTTGTGTTGAAGGGGGGAAAAACATCCTAATAGTGAATATTCATCACACATTAGGGCAACCGAATGGAAGCTGGCCTGAGGCAACATGTTTTTCTTTCTTATTTTCTAATAATGCTTGTTTTGTAACACGCTGGCCTTGTTCGATCCACCTTCTGTGCCTGCTACTTTATGTTATTACAACGTCTGTGCGAATTTGCATGTCATTTCAAACAGAGCGCAGTTTTGTTTTTATTTCCTAAAAGATAGGATTTTTTTTTAATCTGGTCTTGATAAGCTTCAAGTGTTTTTGAAATTTTATTTGCCCTTTCACTCTATGGTCGCATGCAGTTGCAGATTAGACCCCCGCCCATTCATCCGGGATGCAAATAAACATGATAGGGCATTAAGAGGCTTGGGCGGAAAGGGGTGTGACAAAGGTGTTGTGTTTCAACTCAAACCACCTGGCGAGGAGACACTTAAGGCGCGCAGGTTCAGGGTGCTGGCGCATTACAGAGACACCAGTCGCTCAGAGAAGTCCAAAACACCTGAATGATTTCACCGTAAACAGTTTTGCAGGACTCGTAGACTTTTTTTAACCCTCTCCTCTGAGCGATGGAAAACAGGATCCGACCCCTTGGTCTGACCGATCATACCTCCGGCCCGCTCGGTAGCCTGCCGGTACCCCCTTCCCTTCTGCGTCCTCCGCCTCTCTTCCTCCAGGCTTGCAACCCCACGCTGGAGAGGGGATATCCCCGAACCCCGAAGTGTGCCAGGTGCAGGAACCACGGCGTGGTCTCTGCGCTCAAAGGCCACAAGCGCTTTTGTCGCTGGAGAGACTGCGTGTGCGCAAAGTGCACACTGATTGCAGAGAGGCAGCGGGTGATGGCCGCGCAGGTTGCGTTGAGGAGGCAGCAGGCTCAGGAAGAGAGCGAGGCCCGGGATCTTCGGCTCTTGTACCCCTGCACTGGGATCGGAGGGGAAGCAGGGATCCCTCAGAGATCGTCCATTAGCGCCGGGGTACCCGTATCTGCCAGCAGTACTCCGGCAGCTCCCTGTTTCGATGTTTTTGGGAGTGAGAATCAGAAAGACGGTGAGTTGAAATGTAAGACTGTATACTTTGTCTTCATAACTATTTTAATACACAACAATGTTCTTCTTTTTGGTTCCTCTGCAGCTTTGGTGAACTTTGATTACCTCGTGCGCATTTAATTTAAAAGCTGTTGTCCTTTTCTTTCATCCGTAGTTACAGTTTCAGAGGACAAATTAAGCAAATACAACTTTTACAACGGATTCATGGGCCGACCTCTGTTTGCACCCCATTCTCCACGGCTGCCCTCTCAAAGTGACAAGAAAGAGCTGTCTCCCAGCAAGGACAGCGGCGGAAGTCAATCCCCTGCGACGGACCACCGCTCAGACCATACAGAGAGCCCACAGAGGTCACTTCCCTCCTCGGATCCAGAGTCGGGGAGCGAGTCGGAGAAGCCCAATGAGTATCTGAGCCCGGACCGTGACCCCACCGACATCATGGCTAAGATCTTCCCCCATCAGAAACGGGACACTCTGGAGTCTATGGTGAGAACGTGCAAAGGTGACATTGTCAAATCCATTGAGCTGGCGTTGAACTCCAAAGAGAACAAAATTGACGCTGACAGCGCGCGCAGGCCTTCTGTGGGACTGCCCGGAGGGCTCGGTGCTCTGGGGGCCAAGTCTGCTTTCTCCCCGCTGCACATACCCGCATCCCCAGGAGTAGACAGCCTGTACGGCCTCAGCCCTCGCCTGGGCGTCAGCCCCCTGCGGCTGGCCTATCCCTCCGCTAACGGCGGCATGGCAGGCTTCATGTCTCCATACATGACATCAGGACTGATGCCAGTGTTCCCACTGCGTCCACCCTTGGACTCTTATTCCCTCCCCGGCATGATCCGAGACCTGTCTTACATCCAAAGCAAGGAGTCTCTATGCAATGCAGGCCTGTACACACGGCTAAACAGCGAGACTAAATAAAAAAGGGACACATGGGGAAAAAAGAAAATAAATAAAAAAGTTAACTGTAGCTTTTAAATAACCGCTTTTCAAGTGCCTCGAACCACAATGGTGTACTAAAATCTGACGACTCAATGCTTTTTTTTCTTAATGTAAATTTTGCAAATTGTTTATTATGAATAGAGTTATCTTTTCTCGTTTTACACATTTTGTATTCATTTCGTGCAAATATAAAATGATGAAGTGAGTCTCTTTTGTCGACTTTTTTTTTTTAGATGTGATAAAAAAGAAAAGGGAAAAACAACTGCATGTGTAGCACTCAAAACTAACAAAAACCGGACTTTGTCCCACGATAAGTCTTCTGTTTCTTTCCTTTTTTTCTTCTTTTTTTTTTAAAACACTTTGGGGGGAGGAATCTACTACCATCTTTTTTTCTGTTTCGTTCCACACATTTTAGTTCAGGGTTATTTAAGTGCAGTAGTCGTAAATATGTTATGTGGAAGGGACCTTGGTGAAGTCTGTGCTTGTGAAGGAGCTCCAGCTGGCTACAAAAGATGTCTGCTGGCTCGCTAAAAAAGGCTACACTTAAATAAAGTGCTTCAACTTTAAACTCCCATTTCTAAAATGTAAATAAAGCCGTAAGTGTAGTAAAACGAAATCAAATTCGTCCTCTTTTTCGCCTCTGCTGCCGTTCTCCCCTGCGATTGGTCGGTGGATGATCACACGAACCTTAAACTAGAAACCAATAGAAAGCCTCAGAAGCGCCACGAGACCGCGTGTTTCAGGAAGTCGGGACACGGCAGTTTGAGATGCTGGCGGTGCAGTGTTTGAAACAGCCTTGAGCGGGATTTTATGAGGCAGGAGGCGCTGACATGCGTGTCTACATTATTGTCGCTGCTGTGTTTTGGTGTGGTTATGTGGACTCGCGGAAAGTAAGAGGAATATCCTCGTCCTGTAAGTCCATTCTTCCCTTTTAGCTTCCAGCTAGGTAGCTGCCAAATATATACAGAAACAGCTACATGGTGCTGAAGCTTTGGCAGCTCCTGGTTTCAGACGCGGGCAGCACGTTACAAGCTGTGATAACAGAGTACACAGCATAATAATGGTACACAACATTATGAGTGTGTAGTAGCAACACAACACAAACCTGCTGTTTTACCCTCCCCAGAGGATCCGTGCTAAGACACTATAAGCGCTCACACTGATGCACAATGTTTGGCTACAATTCTGGTTGCACCTCAGAGCCAGCAGCGATTACAAAAGTGGGCGTTTGCTTTTATTTTGTAACAGATAAAAGATTCTACAGGGAGAGGAAGTCGTTTCTGTGCATAGATGGGTCGAGAATGATCCCATTTGAGCAGGTGAACGACGACTACTGCGACTGTGAAGATGGCTCAGATGAACCAGGTAAAAGGTTAATCAGTGGGGCCAGCCGGCCTCTGTCTGTCAGCGTTATCAGTCTGTCTGGTCACTGTGACTCTGTTGGAAAATCAGTGTTTTACTTTAAAGACTTTTGAAGTTTTCTGCGCTCAGATCAGCTGCATGTGTTTTTGGGGGGCAAAACACAATCAGCTGATCTGCAAAAAGCAGCCGCCGATTTTAAAAGTGCATGCTTTTACATCCTGGGAAGTGTGAGGGGAAAAACTGTACACAACAAAAACATAGACTTTCAATACCGAAGACATGCACTGCGTGGACAAAACAAGAAGCCATGTAAACAAGAAGCCCCACCAAGGCAGCTCACTCTCTGGGAAGTATTTACTTTGTATTTTGTACATATTCATATTGTTTTCTTTGTTATTTTTAAACATACTTCTAGAAGTCTGTAGTTAAGTAAAAGCAACTGCAAAGTGCAGGCTTTTGTTGTTTGCCCTGCTGAAACCCATTTTAATATGCTTGGCGTAATTTTGATTGCAATACAGGACATGTGCAGTCTTTATGACATTGTTTAGTGAAATTTGTTGAATAATAAATATCAAGTGTCAAAGCCCCCCCCCACCCTCCTAAAAAATAAATAAATTATACATTGTAACGTAGTCAAATTGTTATGTATTTAATGATTACCATCTACATACTTACAATCTATTATTGTGATGTAAATGGCAAAGTAAGAATAAATCAATTCAGCTAAAGTCAAATAGTATCTCTTGGCAACATGTTTTTGTCAGTCTGAAAAC